TGGTTGTTTTTTATTTGTGTTTTAAAAATAAGGGGCGCCTGGGTGGCTCAGTCGGTTGAGCGTCCGACTTGGGCTCAGGTCATGATCTCACGTCCCGTGAGTTCGAGCCCCGCGTTGGGCTCTGTGCTGACAGCTCGGAGCCTGGAGCCTGCTTCAGATTCTATGTCTCCTTCTCTCTCTGCACCTCCCCTGCTCACCCTCTGTCTCTCTCTCTTTCAAAAATAAATAAACATTAAAAAAATTTTAAAAAATGGTGGTAGTAGCTTTCGGGAGATGAGCCTGGAGGGGTAGGGAGACAGGACTGCTGGGTACAGCTGAGCAAGCTGCACACTGCACAACTCCAGAGGAAGCCATTCCCATAGACCGTGATGAGAGGAATGCAGCCTGGGAATTGTGCAAGGTGGTAGCCCTGGAGGTGGGACCCCACCATGCATGACCTTGAAGCCCAGCAAACATTTTCTGCAAAGGGCCAGAGAGTAAATATTTTAGACTGTGTGGTCCATACATTCTCCGCTCTGCGACTCAACTGTGCTGTTTCAGGATGAAAGCAGTCATTGGCGATATGTAGATAAATGTTTCTTGTTCCAATAAACAACTTGATCTACAGAAACAGGCTGCCTGCCAGATTTGGCCCGTGTGCCCACCCCGGTGAAGGCCACGAAAGGATTTTGAACTTCATTCTAAGAGCCGTGGGGAGCCATGAGAGGGTTTAAACAGGAAGTGAGAGGTGCAAGTTCGCAGTTAACACGGTTCTGAAAGACCTGACTGTGCCCCCAGGACCTGCAGTGTTTCTTGCGACCTGTGTGTGGATCACTCTGTTAGTGCTGGTTCCCACTGGCCTCAGGGGCAGAGGGGAGCAGCCCCGTGGTCAACAGTCAGGGCCTCGGAGTCGGAGGACCTGCTTTCCTCTGCTTGGTCTCCTGTGACTATGACCCTTTGTCTCTTCTTCTCCACGAGGGGAATCGTTACAGACAGGAGCCCCATGAAGGAAGGTGGCTCTGCACGGACCTGGGGGCACAGGAAGAGCTCAGTAAGGAGGCACTGTGGATGTAAGAGTCCTTTTTCTTGCTGAACCGGAGGCAGGAAAGCCCGGTCGCGCCCTGGGCGCGTGCCGTGGGCTCTTTGCTCCAGTGAGCTGTGCCCAGAGCCAGGCTCCCAGCTGGGGCAGAGCACACTTCCAAGGACACCGTGGCTCATACATGCGAAGGGCTCCGTGGAGATGGGGGTGATGCTTCCTACCTCTTGGGCTGAAAATAACTGCCCGCCATGGGAGTGATTCCTCATCTTGGGTTCCCAATAATTCCTGCACACGGACGCTGTTTTTGGCAGCTGGTGTTTCATTTCTGTCTCCAAGAGTGTCTTCTGGACAGGGAGCCTGGTCCCCCCCACCCCCACCCCGGCGCTCCCCGCGGGATTTGATGGCTTGCCTCGTATAAGCAGAACCTTCCCAGAATCCGTCCTGTACAGGGGCACCATGGCCACTTCTGCTCT